ATTTATGAGTGTCGAAGAGGCTATTATGCAATGACCAACATTCTCCTAGTCATTTATGAAATGACCAAACCGACCTTAGAGTAAAATTACTAAAATGCACCTAGAATGTAAAATTATGAAACTATCTTTCGCAACCCTGTGAGTTATTGCCACTCGCCACGACCACCATTTGACTACCTTCGTGCATATCATTGTTTCGGGAAGGGTCACCCGAAGCTCCTCTATCATTTGATGTAGGTGGTGTTAGCCACGGTTATTGGTGGAGAGAGAGATAGGCGATAACCGAAAGTAGAACTTTTATGTTTCTTCTTCGACGATGTTCCCGACTATGAAAGAAATAAGAAAAGGATATCGATCAACTCGGAAGACCATAAAGAGTATTTATACGATGGTTATGAGGTTTAATTAACCTTGATTAGCCAATTTAGTTGGATCTTCACAAACATGTCAAAAAATGGCTTCGTCGATTATTTGATCTATTTCGATGACATAGAGTTCTGATTTGTAGAAAAAAATTCTTCTAAGAGGATGGAGGATAGTTATATTATGGTGGTAAGTGATGGATCTAGGTGTTGGCTATTGGTCGGTGGTGGTGGTCGAAGGAGATATCAACCTAAAGGTGGTTGATTTAGGAAGAGAAGCTCGATGGGTATACGAAGTTATGTGAAACAAGTTAATAGGTCTCGTCGGGTTACTTATGGATATTTTGGCAATTTTTTTTTTTAGTATTTTTTCTTTTTGAGATTCATGTCCTCTTTAAATGGCTAAAAGTGGTTGAGTATTTAGAGGAGAAAAATTAGAGTTTGGGGTAAACACTAATTTTGGTCCTTGCTTTCTCCTAATTTTCAATTTCAATATTATTTTACTCATTCATATTTTAATGGCAACCTTTAATTGCCATTAATTAGGACTCTTTATAAATTTCTCTAAATTGTGGCCTTCTTTTCTTTTAATTAAGGGTATAGGGCTTTAGATTTTTCAATTGCACCATCAATTGGGTTTCCTTTGGTTTCCAAACTTTATATTTTTTTAATTAAACCCTTAAATCTAATTTGAGTCGCTCATTTCAAATAATTATCTTTTTCTTTTTTCCTTTTTTTTCTTTTAACTCACAAAATTTAAAAATTAGATAGGTAAAAATTAGGTGTTAACGACCCGCATTAACTATCTTCTTCTTTTTTCCTTTTTTTTTTCTTTTAACTCACAAAATTTAAAAATTGGATGGGGTAAAAATTAGGTGTTAACAACCCGCATTAACCAATTGTCAAGGAAAGATCACCTATTTGAGTTCGGCGATGGTTATTCATATTAACTTATGTTTTGAGGGTGGTCACCCGTAATTGATCGATGATTTAGGAAACTTTATTTGACCTTACTATTTGATTTCTTTGGTTGATTATTGTTTGCTTTTATTTGTTCTATTTCTTGCTTATTAGTCATGTTATATTAGTTTGTCATTCTTGTGTAATTTTCTTTACAAGTTTACTATGCAAAATTAAAAAAAAAAGTTCTTTTTTAATGGCTTTACATTGTAAGTATTGTAAAAAAAAAAAAAAAAAAGCGCAACTTTTAACACCTAAATTTTAACTCATTTGTTTGCATAAACTCTTTAAAAGAAAAAAATAATAATAACTTAAAATCAATAAATCAAAAATGAAAAATGAAAAAATTGAAAAAGATGAGATAAAAATTGAAAAATTAGCATTTGGGGGCTAATTGAAAAATTGAGAGAAATGGGGCACCAAAAAAATCTAATTAAAGGGTGCAATTGAAAAAAAGAAAAAGAAAGCTAAGGATCTTAATTGAGAGAAATAAAAAGAAAAGGGGTCGAAAAATTTCAACCGAAGGGCATAATTAAAAGGAAATAAGGAGAATATGACTAAAATATAATGAACACATAAGATGAGTAACCAAATCAAACTTTAGCCATCAAACGCTAAAAAGTTAGCATCAAAGTAGCTCTTTCTCCACAAACCCTAGTAGCTAGAAACCTCATGCCATCTACAAATTCCAATGACCACAACTTTCGTTCGATCACCGTAATTGAAGCCCTTCCTTATTTCCATAATCGATCACGACCACCATTCATCTATACCAACTCATCACCAAGCCCCCACTTTAGCCAACATTTGTCTCGCAGCAAACTTGATCATACTAGCTCATCGCCAAAGTCCATACTCCTATTACTATTCGTCCATAGTAGACCTTACCATGCCAACTCTTCATCGATCTCCACAACTCGTTATTTGTTTGCAAGAAACCCTAACCAACAATGACCTTATTGTTATTGAAATCATCACAAGAAGCCACCGATTGGTTCCTCCACCATTATAGCAACTAGCCAATGGTGCCACCTCCTCTGGAGTTAACACTATTGTTAGCCATGTCTCCTCTCTTTGTCGAATGACGACAAAAAATTCAGCCACCATGATAGCCACCGGAGAAGTCATCTAGTTCGACCACCACTCCAACCACTATGGGCGACCACCTAGTTTGGCAACCACTCTAGCCACTAAAGGTAGCCACCACATTCGGCCATCACTTTAGCCACCAAATATGATCTATTCCTACCACCACCAACGCACCACCACCCATTAGTAGTAAATCAACAATGGGTAGCTGCTCTTCTTCTTTGGCCGACTAAATAATCAGTCTCTATCATAGTTGAAAAAGTAAAAAATAACCCCAATTTGGTCATCACAAGTTTCGATAGTGCCTTGATAGCTTTTCATAATTTTTTCAATGACTAGGAAAGTTAACAAAATCCTCAAATTTTAATTCATGTCGATTGTAAGATAAATTTAAATTAATTATGTTGATTTGATTTGAATTTATTTTATTGATAATAATTAAAGTGTTTGATATATATCATTGTGTATCAAACTCGAAGAGGTTAGACACCTCGGGTACACTTGAGATAAAATAAGGTTGGTTTAATGCTCTATGATGGAGTTGAAAGGATGAGTTTGAGATTTAATTTAATGGATCATTTGTGGTAAGTGCTAACCTTGGTCCGGGTGATTGTTTATTGTTTGATTTGTGATGGGTTGAATATGTCTAATTATGTCTTGATGATGGTTAATTGGATATTTTATTTACATGGTTATGTTTTTTGTGAAAATTATGACATTTGAAGTCACATCGGTCCGGATCTTGTTTTGAGATCGTTTTTTCCAGTTGTGCCATTTAAGCCAATTTGCTTGCCTTTTGTGTGAAAATCATGGCATTTGAGGTCATGTCTCGTCCACTCTTGTCAATTTTGCTAGTTTATGCTTGTTTACTTACCGATTTTGCCACTATTTATCTAAAAATCATGACACTTAAAGTCTCGTCGGTCAAAGCCTTGATTTGGATTGTTTTTGCCTTTTTTTGGGTATCTTTTTTGCCTATTTTTGTCTCAAAATCATGAAGCCTCAAGTTGCATCGGCTCAAACCTCACTTCGAGTTGTTTTTGCCAAGTTTTGATGTTTTTGCCATGTTGTTTATTTTTTGTGCAAGGCATAATTTAATTGCTTTAAATTTAGATTGATCATATTTCGGAGTGAAGATAAGGTCTCTGATCGATCAAATCTCAAATCACTTGATTGATCGATAATTAGGAATATGCATAGATTCTCATCACGTAAAAATCGGAAATCAAATTAGGATTTGTATAGGCAAGGACTCGGATTGAGTGATTTTAATCTTTTCTACACGAAATCAATTATTTACTTAGAACTCTTAGTAGATCAACCATATGGTTTCCTAGCAACTTTAACATTAGGTGGTGACTTTATTTTCTACCTATTCTCTATTTCGAATCGTTGCCTTCCTAACATGGCCCTACAACATTGATAATTATGATGATGATGATGATAAGGAGTTTTTGGTCTTTTCACCTTTTTTTAATTAATTTATTATTAAAATTAGTTTTAATTTTTTTTAATTCGGATGGAATTGTATTTCGAGACCCATTTAGCCACATGTTGCTCGAGTACTTGGTTGTCGTTAACGTTAATGTGCCATGTCGGATGAACAATTGACGACTTATAACCAAGGATCCGAATCAACAAATATCTAAAAATAAATGGTTTCAATAAAATAAAAAAAGTGTAAGGAACAAATATGGGATAAATCCTTTTATATGTATATGTGTGTGTGTTGCGACTTTAGCAGTAAAGAATTGACTCCATTATATACTATAAGCAACAAATAAAACAAATGAAGAAAAAATGTTACTCAATTTCTTTTTTGTTTTTTTTTTTGGATTTCGTTTTACTATGCTCGGCTTTCTTCCTCATTACTCTTATTTCTTTGACTTCAAGATTGTTTTGTTGATTAATGCATGAATTTAACATCGATTATTTTTAGATTGTGTTAGAGTGTCAACATCTTTTTAGAGACCGGAGACATATCTTGTTAATTGTATTAAATTATTTTGAGTACATCGTAAAAAAAATTATAAGTGTGTCCATGAACAACAAAAAAACTAAATCTCGAGATATATATATATATACTTTTGTTTTAAAAAACTAATATTAAATCCGTATATTTTCATATGTAAATAACTTAGTCAAAGTTTGGTTTTTCATCGAATTAGTTTTTTTTCCTAATATATCCTTCATTTGTAATTAAATTTTATGATCTTACCAACTACATACAAAATAAAAATACGTTTAAAAAGGATATTTAGATATTGAAAAAAAAAAAAAAGTCAGCTTTAGGCAACTAGGCAAGGGACTAATTTATTCCTTTTAAAAAAGAGGGACTAAATTATAAAATAAAAAAACAACAGTGACTATTTTAATTTACTATATATTGTAACAAATTAACACAGGGACCTATATCTGATGCCGTCGTTTCCTAGGCCTAGACAAAGGGCGTTGCGTTAAGACACAGACACAGGCAGTTTAAGCTCAAATGGCTAAAACTTCTCATCTGGATAGTTTCTCCATCTTTTAATAGCAAAAGATTGTCGCGGAAATCGGAATCAACCTCCGAGAACAACACCCCCAACTCGAATGTCTACTAACTATCTTTCGATTCAAACCATAGTTAGCCACTTAAAGCACTGCTCTAAGCTGAAACAGCTGCAGTCCTTATATGCTACCATGTTCAAAACCAATACAAACCAAGATTGTTTCTTGATGAACCAATTTATATCAGCTTGTTCTACTTGTGACCGTATAGATTATGCAGTTTTAGCCTATACCGAGATGAAAAATCCGAATGTTTTTGTCTATAATGCAATGATTAAAGGATTTGTTCAATGCTATCAACCAATTAAGGCTCTTGAATTGTACATTCACATGTTAAGAGCTAATGTATCTCCTACGAGTTATACTTTTCCTTCGTTAACTAAAGCTTGTAGCTTGGTATCTCAATTGAGGTTTGGAGAAGCTGTTCATTGTCACGTTTGGAGAAATGGGTTTGATTCAGATGTGTTTATTCAAACTTCTTTGGTTGACTTTTATTCAAGTATGGGTAGAATTGTTGAATCTACAAGGGTGTTTGATGAAATGCCTGAAAGAGATGTCTTTGCCTGGACTACAATGATTTCTGGTCTTGTGCGGGCGAGGGATATGAGTTCTGCTAGGAGATTGTTTGATATGATGCCTGGCAGAAATATAGCTACTTGGAATACTTTGATTGATGGGTATGCAAGATTGAGAGATGTGGATGCAGCAGAGTTGTTGTTTGATCAAATGCATGCAAGAGATATTATTTCATGGACAACAATGATCAATTGTTATTCTCGGAATGAGAGATTTAGAGAAGCATTGGGGGTTTTTAATGAGATGGGAAAATATGGGATTAGCCCAGATGAAGTGACCATGGCAACTGTGATTTCAGCTTGTGGTCATCTTGGAGCCCTTGACTTAGGGAAGGAGATACATTACTACGTAATGCAGAATGGATTTAACCTTGATGTCTATATAGGGTCTGCATTGATCGATATGTATGCTAAGTGTGGAAGTCTAGATAAGTCCCTTTTGATGTTCTTCAAGTTGCGAGAGAAGAACTTGTTCTGTTGGAATTCACTGATTGAAGGGCTTGCTGTTCATGGATTTGCAGAAGAAGCACTGGCAATGTTTGACAAGATGGTGAGGGAGAAAATTAAGCCAAATGGGGTTACATTTATTAGTGTTTTAAGTGCCTGCACTCATGCAGGACTTATTGAAGAAGGTCGTCAGAGGTTTGAGAGGATGACACGAGATCATTTAATCCCTCCCGAAGTTGAACATTATGGATGCATGGTTGATCTCTTGAGCAAAGCTGGCTTGCTCGAAGAAGCACTGGATTTGATAAGAACAATGAAGTTGAAACCTAATGCTGTTATCTGGGGTGCTTTGCTAAGTGGATGTAAGCTTCACAGGAACTTGGAGATTGCTCAGGTTGCTGTTAATAATTTGATGGTTTTAGAGCCTGGCAACAGTGGGTATTACACTCTTTTGGTTAACATGAATGCTGAAGTTAATAGATGGGGTGAGGCTGCAAAGATCAGGTTAACCATGAAAGATCAGGGGGTAGAAAAAGATGTCCTGGGTCCAGTTGGATTGAGATGGAAAGTCAAGTTCATCAATTTGCAGCATCTGATAAATCTCATATGGCTTCCGATGAGATTTACCCCTTACTGGCTGAATTAGATGGGCAGCTGAAGCTAGCGGACTATGTACCTGAATTATGGTCTGTTTTGTAGCAGTCGGTGTGGCCTTTGTATAATAGAAAGGGCATTTAAGGTTCACTGGATGCATTGAACATTTGTTATGGATTAAGATGAAGTTGCCCCACTGGTCAGAGGCAGTTGAGCAGAGGCCTAGTTCCGTCTCACACGAAAAAGGTAATCCGGATATATATGGTGAAAATAAAAATTTTCTTCATTGCCATTTATTTTTGCCACTTGACTTTATTTTATATCTGCCCTAAATATGTTTTCCCCTCAAAACTCACCTTTCTATTTGCCTCCTACTCTATATTGTATAGTGGTTCTGGTAAGTTTGATCCATCCTGCGTTGCCTGTTAATTATTTAGCACTGTTTGATGATATATGCACCTGCCCTGAATACTTCTTAAATACTACGTGCAGATTGTTGAAAATTTTATACAGAAATGTAGAGGTATGTTGAGTCCTCTGTGTGTCATTCTTATTTAGCTTTAGTGACAGGCACAGATATGACTCGTAGAACTTCAAAGGTTATGTTGGATATGATGGTCATAGATGATTCTGGGTCACGGATTGTGCTTATGGCACTAATGGGGTGAGGCCTCAAAGACAAGGGTGACTGTTATGAAATGAGGGTTAGAAAAAGAAGTCCCGGGTGAGTTGCTGGGTCTAGTTGGATTGAGATGGAAAGTGAAGTTCATTAGTTTGTGATATCTGATAACACTCATCCGACATCTGATGAAATTGCTGAATTGGATGGCCGGCTGAAACTTGTGAGCTATATACCTGAATTCTGCTTTATTCTAATCTATAGCAGTTTGGTCCTTGTAGAGAAGAAATCATATCCGATGGATGATGTGTTCCATGGTTAAAGCTAAAGGAAGTTTCAGGCAGAAAGATAGATAATGACAGTGGTGGTACGGTGTAGCCGAGCTAGTCAGGAACATTTGAGCAGATGCTTGGTTCAATCTATGAAATTGAAAATCTTCTTCTCCCTATTCGAGAGGATTTCATATGGAGGATAGCATCAGAACTTGTCCTATACTTGACCAAAAAAAATTTCAATAAAGGCACTGTAACATCTTCAGACATTGACTCCAACTGGACAGGAAGAATATGGACATTTGCATTTCTGTCGCTTATGGGACAGATGCTCATCTAGGCAGATTTTGGACTTTTACTATTGCATGGAGCTAATTATCTTGCAGTGAAAAGCAAAATCCTGTAGGAATTCTGAATTAATAAAGGATTACTTTCTTTTCCTTCTTTTTGATTCATGTTACTCGTGAGGATTGTGGTCCATGCTTATTGATGAAAATGATGAAAAAATGATTTTCATTGCTTGACTAAAACGTAACTAACAGTGCTTTATATATACATGCACCGATTACAATCAATATAACAATAACTAACTTTTGTAACTAACTATTAAATTACAATCATTAGTTATAATGAGCTGTCAACTTCTTTTCCAATTAAGCTTTCATCACTGCCTTGTTCTTCATTGCTCTAAGGAGGAATATTGGATGAGAGATGATCTTCTTTACACTCCCCCTCAAGATGTGCATGTATGTTTAATATGTTCATCTTCTTCTTAAGCCCAGAAAATGCAGCAGGCTGTAAAGCCTTTGTAAATATATCAGCAATCCGAGCTTTAGTGTGGATGTAATGAGGTTGAATAACACCAACTAGTAACTTCTCTCGCACAAAGTGACAGTCCAACTCCAAATGCTTTGTTCTCGTCAAGAAAAACTAGGTTTTTACACAACCGCAATGAAGATTTGTTGTCATAGTAGAGATCAACAAGTTGAGGATGGGGAATTCTCAAATCCCGTAACAAGTAAATCATCCACATGATGTCATAAGTAGTCATAGATAGGGCACTTTGCCTCTGTCGAGCTCTTAACAACTAGTTGCTTCTTGGATTTCTAGCTTATCAAAGAGTCTCCAAGTTTAATGCGAAACCCGTGATAGATCTCCTACTCGTCGGGACATCCTCCCCAATCACTCGTCGAATAAGCGATTAATTGCAACTTTGAATATGCGGACAAGAAAATCCCATGGCTAGGTGCACCTTTCGGATATTTAAGCACTCTATATGTCGCTTCCGAGATGAACATCACTAGGTTTATCCATGAATTGTGCTAAGACATGAACCGAATAACCGATACTTGATTTGGTAAAAGTGAGATATAATAACTTTCCCACAAGTTGCTTATACATAGTAGGATCCGTCGGCTTATTTTCATCCGTTCTACTCAACCAATGATTAAGGTCTATAGGGGTCGAGATAGGTTTTGCTCCTAATATGCCAAAATCTACTAAAAGATCGAAAGTGTATTTCCTTTGACATAGAGAAATTCTTTTAAATGATCTAGCTATTTCAACACCAAGGAAGTATTTTACTTGTCCCAAATCTTTTAGTTTAAATTAAGAGCTAAGGAACTGTTTCAAGTTGGCAATGGCCTCGAAGAGCTATTCACGATAAGAATATCATCCACATATACTAGCAATCCAACAAAAACATTGTCCGTGTCAACTTTGGTAAATAAAGAATAATATGATTTTGATTAAACAAAACCATTAGCAAATAAAGACGCACCGAATTTAGAATTCTATTGCTCGGAAGCTTATTTCAAGCCATAAAGGGATTTATGTAACTTGCATATCATTTTACCAAAATGTTCTCCTCTTGAAACCGATAGCCAAGTTGGTAAGTCCATATAAACTAACTCATCCAATTCTCCATGCAAAAATTCATTATTGATGTCTAACTAAGACAAACACCAATTATGAATAGTAGCCAAGGCTAAGAAAATCCCGATAGTAAATTGTTTCACCACAAAGCCGAAAGTTTCAGTAAAATCAAACCCTCCTATTGGTCGTAGCCTTTAGCTACCAAACGAGCTTTATACCTTTCCGTACTACCATCAACTTTAAGGATGGTTTTAAACACCCATTTATAACTAATGGAATGATGATCAAATGGAAGGGGAACCACTCGTCCAAGTATGATTTGCCTCGAGGGCATTAAGTTCATCCTACATAACTCGTCGCTAATGAGGATAATTCATAGTTCGATGGTAACTAGTAGGCTCGCAGAGTAGTGAAAGAGATCCCGTAAAGGTCTTACGAGCGAGTGACAATTAGGGAGAAGAAAAGTATTTGGAAATTGGATGTGCAGTACAAGAATTCACAAGTTTAATGGAATCATCATAAAGATCTAGATATTGAGAAATATGTTTTGGCTTAGTACTTTTTCGAAGAGTTAGCATAGTGGTCAATATCGAGTGTGCATTGTGGTGAAATGACAAGTGGAGAGTCTAATGAAGATGCATGAATGTCGGTAGAAAGATTGTGGATAACATGATGATTGTCTTAAGATGAATGCATATTATCGGTGCAATTATTAGAAGAGACAAGAGAAGGAAAAACGAGAATCGGGAAAAGGAAAAGACATTACAGGAGAAAACAAATCGGTAGGTATATGAGATGATGACAAGGAAGAAGAATGCAAAGGTGAAACAGAAGAATATGGAAAAATATGTTCATAGAATTTGACATCTTTAGAAATAAAGGTAGCATGAAGATCTAGATCATACCTTTGACACCCATAGGATATCTTAGAAAGATACATTTCCTTACTTTTACACCAAATTTCTTACAATGAGCGAGCAATGTAATGACAAAACTTAAGCAACCAAAGACTCGAAATGGAGGTAAGAAAGTGGTTTCGAAAAAGCAAATGATAAGGAGTTTGGTGTTGCAAAATAGAAGATGGGAGTCGATTAATGATATGAATGGTCAGTAAGGACAAGCATCACCCCGAATTTCAAAGGTAAGGATGACTAAAACAATAAGGACCTAGTAACAACCAAGAGGTGTTAATGCTTCTTTTCCACAACTCCATTCCGTTGTGGAGTTCCACCACATGACATTTGGTGTATTATCCCTTTTGAACTATAAAACTCAAACAAATTGAACTCTAGTCTATTATTAGATCGAATTTGTTTAATAGAAGAATCAAACCGAGTGCTAATGAGATTGTAAAAGGAAGGAACCAATGAAAGCACATTAGATTTATGTCTCATTAAAAAAAATCCAAGTAAACCTAGTATGATCATCAATAATTGTTAAAAAATATTGATAACCACCTATGGTCGGAGTAGAGTAAGGCCCCTAAATATCCATATGTAAAAGTTCAAAGGGAATAAAAGTTTGTTTGAAATGTTAAAGAAAAGGTAACCTCTTTGATTTTGCCAATGTGCATATAGTACAAATTGTATTTAGATTACACCGTATAGCACTATTTATGTGCTTCGAGAGTATTTATTCTCTCGAAGGGAAATGACCTAATCTATAGCGCCAAAGATCAAATTCTGAACATGTAGATAGATTGGTAACAATAGAATGAAAATCCGACAAAGCCAAAGTTGCATCGGGAGATGATGAAGAACAATAAAGCAAATAAAGACCAAACCGCATCTTAGCAAACCCAATCTTGGCCTTGGAATGGAGATCCCGAAGAATGCAGTGATTACCGATAAACAATAAGTTAAATTTCCGAGATTTGGTGAGCTAACCGATAGACAAAAGATTAAAAGCAAAAGCATGCACAAATAAAACATTATACAAAATAATGTTTCTAATCAAAGTGACAAGTGCCACAAAAGGTAGTAAAGGTATGAGTACCATTAAGCATTTTAACTAGAGTGTTTGTTATAAGATAATAGGAATTGAATAATTCAAAGAACATGTTATATGATCGGATGCACTCGTGGCCACAATCCATTATGTAGGGTTTAACAAAGTGGATGAATTAGTGGAAAATTGATTACAAACGGATATACCGAAGCGAGAGGTTTGTGTATGATTTATCGATGAGGAAGTGGGAACGAGTATGTGTTAATGAAGGCATTTACCGTGAAATATCCTCATTAAGCAAATAGATAAGTTTCTAAACTTGATCTTAAGACAAACCAAGCTCGAGACATGATGTTGCCAAAAGAGTCATAACTAGGTAGAGAATTATTCACTTCGAATAAGCGAGCACCAATATGATATCCGTTTGAAACCTTATGGACGGAATTCACACCGTGAACATGAGATTATGACAGCTTGATTCCTCTCGTTGCCTTCCATAAAACTTAGTGAACTTGAAATGGGGTGGAAAACCAATAATCTTGTAACATTTTTCTTTGTTGTGACCTAGCTTTCCACGAGTGAGAGCATACTTTGTCATTTTGAAACCATTTCTTATAAGCATGCCCCGGTATCGCCATCACTAAAGCTTCGTAAAGGGTTGAGAAACCATTTGAAAAGTTCTTTAAGATTCTACTCAAAGAACAAGATTGAACACCTCATCCATAGTAAGAACTTGAGAATGAATAGCAAGTAAAGAAATTATTTAATCCATTAAGGAAATGAAACACATAATCTTGTTGTTGTTGAGTAGCAAAGATTTAAAAACAAATGTCCTTACATGCACCACACTTACAATGAGGCACATGCCTATAGTTTCGAGTTCTTCCCACACACCATTTAACTCATTAAAGTAATCATTAATAGATCGAGTTCCTTGAGTAATAGTGCACAAACTCAACCGCATATTACAAACCCTAGCATCATCAAGTTGAAAAAACCTTACTTTCAATGTGTCTCAAATCTTCTAAGCAGAATCCATATAAAAGATAGTGTTAGCAATTGGTTGAGAAAGAGACTTCAACGAACCAAGCAACAATTAAATTGTTACATCTATTCCATGCAAGAAACAAAGAATCTTCGGGATCCGGTCTAGGTATAGAACCATTGATAAACTTTCCTTATTGCGAATGGACGGAGTCAATAAGAAAGATCTACTCCAAGAAACATAATTGGAAGTTGTGAGCTCAAGTGTGATAACAACGAGTGTTATGATGTTCGAATGATGAAGGAAGAAAGGTGAATGAAGATCTTCAAAAGGTGGAATCAAAAAACCAGCAGAAGAAGAATCGGATGACATTGTTAAACCTTTAAGATTCTTAAAACCCACATATTCAATCAATAACGAAACTAAGATCAAGATCGAGTAGAAGTGATCGATAAGCAGATGATGAAAAAGAATTTATTATTAGAAATGAAAAAGGCTGCGAAAACAATGAATCAAAAGATAGAAGATTGTTTGGGAAGCAAGAAAATGTGAGAAAATTGTTTGTTAT